CACTGTGACGGAGCCTGGATTGATTAGGATAGACATGGCAGTTACTAGAAAAGTTTGTTTTAAAAAGTCCGATCTTCCATCATTAGGCCAACCAAACTTCCTATCCAGTGCAGCACTGAATGCATGAAGTATTATTCTCCTATTATTGGCAGTACACAGGAAATGTTCCACAGCATGACCTGGAAAAGAAAAAACACAACTGAGCTCAAATAAATTGATTTTTATTGCTTGTCATCTTACAAATACAATGCTGCTGCATCAAAAATTATCCTGGCTTTTATAGAAAAACATTTTCTACATCCAGGCCCAAGCACTGTTAGGTAGTTACAAATACTTATGTTAGTAATTCTAAGGAAAGTGTTATTCGTGTTTTAGTGATATCAGCTTTATTTTATAACCAAATGTTCTTTTTAAAATTATGAACTAGTTCTCCTTTAAGATACACACAATGTGCTGCCAAGAGCAACCACTCATGCACTGCAAATAGTGACACCTGTAATCTGTTTGCTACACCAGCATTTATGCAAATTATGTTCGGGAAGAATATAGTTGGTTATTATTATTATACAGGATTTAAATAGTGCCAACAGTTTGTTCAGCGCTTTACAATATAATGGGAGACAATACAGCAACAATACAGTTCAATACAACAGGGTTAGGAGGGCCCTTCTCCTTGGCGCTTACAATCTAGGAGGTTATTGTAGACAACACAGAAAGTTAGCATTTTAGGCACTTTAACGACTTTACATCCTCCCTATAAGTAGTTTTTCTGCTACAGGGTGGCATTCCTGTGCAAAATGCAGTATATATGTGATTTTTTCACCTCCGCCACACGGGGGGGGCACGTGTGCACCACCAGAGGATCACTTCTGCAGCGAAAGGTCACAGCACAAACCGATCAGTTGCTTGCCGACACCTGCAGATCCTCAGTTAGGGAGGAAGAACAGAGCTGCATCTAGGTTTACAAGTGTCAGTTGGTGTAAAAATGTCTGCCAATATATCGCAGTCCACTGTAGGTTGCTGATCGCTGCCATTACTAGCATATAAAAAAAAAAAAATTCCAGTATATGTACCATGGTAGACGCTATAACTTTTGCACAAACTAATCAATATACAATTATTTTTACCCAAAAATATGTAGCAGAATACATTTTGGCCTAAATTTATAAAGAAATTCGAAATTTTAATTTTTTTTTATTGGATATGTTTTATAGCAGAAATTTTTTTTTTTCAAAATTGTTAGTCTTTTTTTGTTTATAGTGCAAAAAGTAAAAAAACTGCAGAGGTGATTAAATACCACCAAAACAAAGCTCTATTTGTGGGGGAAAAAAGGACATAAATTTCATTTGGGTGCAGTGTTGCATGACCTGCAATTGTCAGTTAAATTAACGCAGCCCCGTATTGCAAAAAATGTCCTGCTCAGGCAAGGGGGTAAAATGTCTGGAGAGCAAGTTTTAAAACTTAATGCCTCGAATGTCTGAAAGTAGTGATTTACGTGAAATAATTTTTTTAATAATGACCTGATTTACATAGGTTGAAAGACACAAGCCCATTGAGTTTAACAAATGTCCTGTTATGTCTACAGACTTTTGAAATATTAATTTTGACCACTGAAAGGTATTCAAATTATTATTAAGTGTGAGCATGGAATGTTGGCACTTATACAGCATTATCTACAAAAAAAATCTCCACTTTTCTTCATACTGTCACGTTGCAATTGCGAGACTATGTTACTTTTTTTATCACCAGATTGTAACACCATTCTTATATATTTTATACTGAAGTCTTTTATGGTACATTCTTAATATATAGTTTGTAAACAAACAAAAAAAAAAAGAAAATCTCAACTTTTCACATTGGTCATAATAAATGATTCAAAAGTCTGTACAAGCATTACAGAACAAAATCAGTAAATTAATTATTTTAACAATTTTAGTTTAAATTGGTTTGCCTTACCAAATGAAATCTAGGAACATGCAAAAAAGAGTTTTGAACAATATTTATGGATACATATTCCAATATGCAGCTGACTTCCTGTCTAAAATCTCACTGGATAAAAATTGCCATTCTAACGCCTCCTTTTTAATAGTAGCTCATTCACATACATTTACAGTAAACCTGTCATATACTTGGGCAATTTAAACTAAATTGATGTATGAAGATGGGAGTGCACATGGCGATTTGATTCAACTCATTTGAGCACATATATTTTATATAATTGTCTATTTGTGAAACGGATTACACTATATTGTTTATTTTGTTCTTGATTGATATCTCACAAGGGCTAAAGTAATTAGGAGCATGTCTGGACTGAGAGGGGAAGAAAAAGATTTATTGATGGATGCATGAATACTAAGGATGTACTAGTTTGGTAAGGGTATTTTAGCATGTGGATCTGGAGAGTGATTTACACTGGATGATGCACAATGGATATTGTCACACTTATGTGAGCACATTATCATAAGAGACAGTGATTGTATGGTGTATGTGGACATATTACACTATGGGGTTTATTTACTAAAGCTAGATAGTGCAAAATCTGGCTCACTTCTCCATAGAAACCAAACTAACTAAACTATCTACTGCAGCTATATTACTTTTCTACAGGCAATGACTAGAGTGCTTGTAAAGCAGCTTCTCTAAAGAGACAGCCCTTAGCCCTGGATCTTCAGCTGACTATTGTTGGGGTCCAGTCTTGATGATGGTGCACATGAATATAGTCCCAGTGGAATCTGCATGCAGTGGTATAAACTGTTGAATAAGTGTCTAATCCCCAGACGCTTAGTCTCCATGAAACTGTTTATGGCCGAAAGGCCCACCCTCTAATCCAGCAAAACAGCTGCAAAAGTTCAGCTGTGCAAGTGCCCTCTGGTTTGACTCTGATCCTTAGTTCACCAGGCTACAATGTTTCAGTGCCTGTGCAGCAAGCGACTGTATCCTGCAGTGACTCAGTCCTCAGTCTCTGGTCACTCCGATCTGTTCTCCCTCTCTCCAGTTCTTAGTGCATAGGGCCTCGATCTCTGATCAGGTCATTGGCTTGTGTGAGGTGGGCACAAACCCAGACAGGGAGAGGTGTCCACTACAGTTCCCCGTGGCAAAGAGACCTAGTTCATCTGACAGCCAGGGTAAAACAGCCTCTGTCTCCATCTCCCCTCTAGAAACTAAAGTCCAAGGGTCCACACAGGCCTGCAGCCTGCAGGCCTGAATTTCAACTCTTAGATTCCAATGCTGCTTGCATAGAAGTCTACAGGGGACCCTTAGTTTGCCACTCCCCCTGGTGGCAGGAAGCATCAATGCTAAATCCAGCATATCAGTTCAGCTGTAGTTTAAAAAACAGCTGCAGGCAATGTCATAACTCACTCCTTATAACCAAGCATCTGGCTACACAAGCATCAGGTCGGTAGATTAAAATATATAGTCAATGGAAATTATACGCTAATCCTCCATTTACTAGAAACCAAGCTCGGCCTTGCTGTCTATAAAGTCCTTAGCCTTCCCTATTTTAGGGATGGGTTCCCCAGGGCCTGTTTATTCTGCAGTTATGTATAAAGTAGAGTCTGTGTCATAATACACTGATCAGAACTGCATGCACTGTCTGAATATTGGTTTTCCAGCAGTACCGTTCCACAGAAGTCAGTTGTTAGACTGTCTTCTGTTGAACAGAGAGAAGTACACCCTTACCAAAATTCAGCTGGATCCTGCTTAACCTGCCAAACATCAGTACATGTGTACCGAGCTTATCTTTTGCTGTAGTTTTTCCTCTGGATTGTTCTCAAGGGCTTCCCATGTCATCAGTCTCTCATGAAAGCTTCAGAGGGTTTAGCCAGGGATGCAGCATGGGCTGGCCTTGCAAGTTGATTAGCTTGCCAATCAACAAAGATTTTATTCAGTAGGTTGGGACCAATTTTACCACATATCCTGAGCAGACATCTAGAGGGGTCTTTTGCCTACATGCTGTTGCCTCAGTATTAAGTCTTGTCCTGCCACCATGTGCTACCTAATTACAGAGAACCCAGCCCATACTGCATTTGCTGTTAAATGGATATTGCTGGGACATTGGAATAACACTGGAACTGGTACCCTGGTCTGGGATCTCCCCCATGTTGCTTCAGCAGCAGAAGTAATATATTTAAGAACAACAGAGTAACATTTGTACCTCCACTGGCCTGACTCTTCAATCACCATCTGGAACAAAAAAAACACAGGAAGGTCTGTTGAACTGGATGCTACTTCTGTCTGCTATACACAGAAGAAGTTTGAGCTGTAGCCATGGACATTCAGCTCTTAGAAGATGAGCCACCATTTTGGTATTCCACCCACCCCTGTTCCTGCAATAAACCTTCAAAAGACATCCAAGAACTGGACTATGGCTAGTACAAGACGTACAGTTCAGTGAGTGCTATGCCTGGGGAAATGGTTAATCTCGGTTGGGAGTCACACTAACTGGGGAGTTAATCTCAACAGGGGGCCCCACTTGCACCATACTCAGTGGTGGCTTTGCCAAAGAATATACTATGGTCCCATGCACCTTTATGGAGGCTCAGCTTTAAGTTTACCATACAGGTGCATTGTGTTTTAGTGGCATGAAGAAGGAAACAAATGAGTGATGAAAAACAGCTACACTAGTATTTAATAAATCTTCCTATCACATTAAAGGACCAGCAGAGAGGATCTGAGGCAGGGAAGAAAAACCAGACATATTTCTCTAGTTTTATTGGGTATTTGAAATGTGCATTTCACTGGAGATAATCTCTGTTTTTTTATTACATGTTTAATGTAATGTTTGAATTGCTCAAGTTGGTAACACAACTACTTTTGCCTTTTCATTTTAGGTATGGAGGATTTTTAAAATATATACTTTACTGAATGTATGCACAACTGCTGATAGGACAATCAGTTTTGCAAAAAACATTTCCAGAAACCAGTTGATTGTTTTTTGGAACTGGAGGTATAGCTGAAAGTGATTCTTTTTGCTGAAAGTGATTCTTTCTGCTTACCTTACTTAAAGGCTGGAGGTGGTGTTTAGTGCTTTTTACCATGTCACTTTCTTGAAGGGCATCAACTATCCATGAAAGTGCCTTACCACAGTATTCAAGCTAAAAAAAAAAAAAAAAAGTTCTGATTACTCTTCTATGCCATTGCTTGCCACAAGGTTTTCTAAATGAAACATTAAAACATTAGAATCCATCTCTGTCTGGCAAATATTTCCTCACTTCCTGTCCCCAACACTTTCATAGGAAGTGAGGGGATCTCTCTCCAACAGAGAATCAAATTTTAATTAGAGTAGGGAAAGGTTAGAATCTCTGTCAGGATGTAACAGGGTGTTAGCAGGAACTGATGAATATACAGACAATAATAAAAATATGGCCATAGTTTTTAAATTGGACCTGCTACTGCAAAACACGTTATTCTTCTGAAATAATAATTTCATACAAGTAATAAATAGCCAACATAAAAAATATGTAATCTTTACATTTGTCACTATATTTGTAAAAACACCTTTTACATACAGTATCCTAAGCCATGGCGCAGGTCACAAGTTCTCAGTTGATGCAGTGATCTATGAGAACCCACATTGCTGACCAGTGACCACCTTCCGGAGAACTGTTTGTTTTTGCCTGCTCTGTACAGTGCCTGTCATGAAACTGAGCAACGTCTCCAGTTGGTGAAATCATTTTGCAGGGCATGTCTTTGCATCCAGACAGTGTTCACCTTTCCAGATTTGCAGGATGCATGTGCACAGCAACGTCCTCATAAACATAGTAATATGTAAACTATTGTAAGTAACCAGAAAGACTGATACACCAATGCACATCAGTACATATATTTCTCAGCATCTTAAAGAGCAAAGGAATGTTGGACCTTGGTGAAAAGCTAGCACTATGAAAAGTGCAGCTGGAAGTTGAGGTGTCAGAAAACAATGATCCTTGGTGATTAGTTTTGCATTAAACTCTTACAGTATATGGGCAGATCTATTGTTCTTCATTCTGTGTAAAGAAAATCTAGGTAATTTCAAACATTGAGACTGGACTCATACTGTTGTGTGTTACAGCATGTGGCAAGGTGTGAATTGGCCATAACAGTTTCCTTTTCACACAATATAGCAGGGTATCAATGTGAACCAGCCACACAGAAAAATGACGTTTCTTCTTAAAATGCATCTTTATGTAGCTAAATGAGTTTTGCTGCATAAAAATGGACACGTGTGACTAGCCTTAAAAGTTCAAACTAAAAGCATTACAGCATTACAGTTTGGCAATCTAGTAAAGCCTCTTCAGATAGAGCAGATAGAGGGTTGAGACAAACCATTTAACAAGCACAGGGATTCTTACAATGGCCAGCTTTTATTTACTGTATTTATTTAAAACCTTTGTTCCCCCCAAAAAACCTGTTGCTGTAAATGCTTAAAAAGGGTTAGATGCACTAGCAGATTTAAATACATTTAAAAATTATAGTCAAACTCCAGCTAACACTACTCTCCCCCCCCAAACTGGCAATGCTGCTGTCTAAAGGTGTCTCTGTTGCTCTGTCATCTAGAATGTAGGCACCCTAATACAGGAAATGTTACCGGCCAGATCACCAGGTGTAGACAGAGAGAAGAAATTCTAAAAAAATAAAAACTAATGCAGCCTCTAAGAATTACGGTGCTAAAATATTGCTTTATGACAGTAGTGCCCAACATGTGGCATTCTGATTACAACCCACTATGTCTTGGGCTGGGTCCGTCACCTGTGAAATTTTCAGGACAGTAGCGGGGTACTGTTCTCTGCATTTCAGCACCTGGCAATGAAACAAACAAGTACACTCCTGGCCTTTTTGAGGAGAGAGAGAGCAAGGTGTGGGAGCACATGATCAGGTAAGATGGGTTTTACTGCCACCGTACTGATCAACAATGAGGAGGGGGAGAGGGCTTAAAAACACTGCCACTGATCACCAGTGTGGGAGATTAAATAGCACTGTTTCTAAAAACCAGTGCAGAAGGGGAGTTAACAGCAATATCACTGACACCAATGCTAGGGGGTTATTATTGCATTCATTCATACTAATGTTGGTCATTGAGTGACAAGGGGAGGTGTACAGGAGGGCAGGTTTTGGTATCCTTGCCTTGGGTGCCAGAGGGCCTTGTTTCAGATCTGGTTGCAGCATTCCTCCAGGAATTATTTTTGGCATTATCCCCACAGCATGATCTTACTGCATTTCCTCTTTGCCCTTTCTACAAGTCATTTCAATGACAGTTTTACCATAAAACAAACAGTTTTTGAAGTGAATGAGTAACCACATTTTACATTTATTTTAAGCTTATTATTGGTATGATTCTGCAAATAATATTGCATTTTAACTAACAATTCAAATGGCTTTTTGCAAAATCAATTTTGGGATTTTGCACTGTGAAATTATCTTGGGCTTTTTAAATATATAACCATACTCTATATATCCATATTGTACCCTATACATATTTTTTCCAGTGTGTTGCAAGTGCAGCCCTCATTGCCCATTAAAAGTTTGAACATCTCAGTTCAGTCTAAGCTTGATATGTTCGGGTTACAGACTTTTCAAATTAACATGCAATGTTGTCCATATTTTAGACATACGGATATTCTGGTTATTCCTCATAACATAGCTTAGTATGTTTACCTCTGCCTCCAGTGCTTTCAACCTCCGATCATGTTCCTTGATTTCATTGAGTTGTTTCAATGCAGTGTCAACCCTGTAGAAGTAAGAAAATGTGACTGACTGGGGTTGGTTTACTCTGACTGATTAGTGCAGACAAGGCATCTAAATTCTCTAAGTACAGAGGAGAGAGAGAGAGGTGCGCCAGACTAAGTGCAGTAAAAATGGTAACGGTTTATTGCACTTAAGATATTTAAAAACTCACAAGATGTGGGTAAAATTCAGGCATCAGGTTATAGATATAGGACGTCATCTAGGGTGGACATCTGGAGTGGATAGCTGAGGTAGATGACGTCCTATATCTATAACCTGATGCCTGAATTTTACCCACATCTTGTGAGTTTTTAAATATCTTGTGTGCAATAAAAACAGTTACCATTTTTACTGCACTTAGTCTGGCGCACCTCTCTCTTTTTCCTCTATTCTCTCCACACAGAGTTCCGGTTTACTCTAGAGAGTGCGGCCTCACGCCGGTGTTATATATATATATATATATATATATATATATATATTTTTTTTTTTTTTTATCACCATATCCCCCCTTCCTGCCCATCACTACCTGAACTACAAGACTCCTCCACCTTTTGAACTACTCGAGCTGCAATATCCTTCCTATACTACCATATACTATATATATTTCTCGCCCCACCCTCCCCCTTTTTTCTCCCCCCGGTATATGGAGCAGCCCCCATGCTCTCCTATAACTGAAAACGTTTTTACACACCTCTAAAAACTCTTTACAGTTCGCATACCCACTACTACCTCTCCTGCACCAATACGTACTTCTGTTTATTCTCTAAGTACGACTTCCTGACTGATATTAAGGAAAGAGAGAGATATCAAGGCTGTTAATGCTGCCTATTACAGCTAACTTTAATATTTTGTGGGTCACTAAACTGAAATAAGCATGGAGATCAGAAGAGTCACATAGCTCCTAGAAACTGAAAACGGCATCTCATACAATTTCTTGAGCTCAAAGAGACAATATAATGGTTAGCAAGTGTATGTCTAGTCTTCTAGAAGTTTTCCAGACTAGAAATGTTTTTATGTATTTGGGAACCCCAGATCCAGTTATACCACCTGGAGCTGGATATAGCTAGCCTTTGATGTCTCTGGTTTGGTGGGAAGCAGTGGACTGCCCAAGGGGTGTAATGGTGATAAGGGATGCTGTAGCTGGTGTAGAGGTAATTAGGGAAATTATAACTTGGATGGTGATGATCATGGACACTGGGACTGGTGTGGAGGTGATCAAGGACACTGGAAACTGGTGTGGCAGTGGTCAGGAACACTGTAACTGATGTGGCAGTGATGAGGGACAATATGACTGGTGTAGTGGTGATCATGGATACTGTAACTGATGTGGCAGGGATTAGGGACAATATGACTGGCATGGCTGTGATCAGGACACTGGGACTGGTGTGGTGGTGATTAGGGACACTGAGTGGGTGGCAGTGATTAGGGATACTGACTGGCATGATTGGTCCGGTAAAATTGTACTGCTGTCGTGGTGATCAGAGATAATAGCTGGCCGCACTGACACAAGTGATATCAGAGCAGCCAGCCATTGTACATGATCGCAGCAGTACAATGTCACTATAGTAGTAACACCATATCACTTTTGGGGAGGGGGTTTGATCAGGATTTTTTTTTACATGATGATTGCTTATTACAGTGATGTTCACTGTATAAGCAATACTTTATGTGTCTGGCATCAATTCCTGAGACCAGTGTTTACTTCTATGATTTTACTGATTGACCACAGCAATTACATGGTACAGGGCCGCTGTGATCCTCTCTGTACCATTTGATTGCTGTGACCAATCACAGAGATCTCATTGTAGTAAAAAATGGTGTCATGAATTGACAGCCTTGTTTACTACTGCTGATTGTGATCACTGTAATTGGTCACAGCAATCACATGATACCAGGGCCAATTACGGTGGACACAAGAGTCACAGATTGCGCCGCTGCATGCTTCTGGAAAGAGGGTACATCCTCCTGGAACGAGGAGGCTCCCACCCGGGACGTACATTGGCTGGGTAGGACGTGGTTAAGCAATAGACAGCATAGGTTTATGAAAGACCAAAGTTGTCAAACAAATCTGATTTCTTTCATGAGGAAGTAAGCAAAATTTAGACAAAGGGGACGCAGTGGATATAGTATACATGGATTTTGCAAAGCATTTGACTCAGTTCACCACACACAGCTAATGTGTAAGTTAAAGTCTACATGCTTGGAAAATTCAGTTTATAATTGGATAAGAGACCGTATTCAGAGAATAGAGAATAATGTTTCATATACTGAATGGTCTAAGGTTATTAGTGGTATACCTCAAGGTTCATTGTTGGGACCCTTACTTTTTATTATATTTATAAATACAGAGTTTGGGATTAAGAATACAATTTAATTGTTGCAGATGACACCGAGCTATGTAGCGGAGCAGTGTTCTTACAGGATGTCTCCAACTTACAAATGGACCTCAATGAACTGTTTGATCGGGCAACTCTGTGGAAAATTAGGTTTAATATTGATGTATGTAAAGTTATGCACTTGGGGCTAAAACATGCATGCATCATACATACTAGGAGGAGAACAGCTGGGGGAATCAATGGTGAGAAGGATCTGCATGTTCTGTTAGATCATAGGCCTAATAGTAGCATATAATGCCAAGCTGCAATTTCTAAAGCTAGCAAAATTCTTTCTTGCATTAAAAGAGGTAAAGACCCCAGAGAGAGAGAGAGATAGAGATCATTTTGTTGCTGTACAAATAATTAGTAAAACCTCATTTAGAATATGTAGTTAAGTTTTGGGTGTTTGTTCGCAAAAAAGATATTGGGGAACTGAAAAGTACAGAGAAGGGCAACCAAATTAACAAAAAGGCATGGAGGAGCTCAGCTATGAGGAAAGAGTAGAGGAACTGAATTATTCTTTCTTGAGAAGAGGACATTAAGGGGGATATGATCACCATGTATAAATACATCAGTGGTTCATATAGTGAACTCGGTGTAGAGTTATTCACCCTGAGGTCATCATCACAGAGGACAAGGGGGTACTCTTTACTTCTGGAGGAAAAAACATTTTTTACCTCCACATATGGAAAGGCTTCTTCACAATAAGAGCTGTGAACATATGGAATAGTCTCCCTCAAGAACTCGTTCTGGCCAGCTCATTTGATTTTTTTTTTTTTTTAAACAAAGGACAGGATACATTCCTAAATACACTAAATATAACTGGATACTAATATTTATAGGTACACCAAGGGTAGTTGATCCAGGGAATACCTGACTGCCTCCTGGGGAATAGGAATTCATTATTTTCCCTCCTGGAGCAAATTGGATCATGCTTTATTGTCTATTTTGCCTTCCTCTGGATCACCTGTGAGTATAGGATTGTGTATATGGGGGTTTTCTATGTGTGTGTTTTCATACTGGTTGAACTAGATGGACTTGTGCCTTTTCTTTTTTTAACCAGACTAACTACATAACTGTATAAATAATAATTCCATTGTTACAGTTTACACTTACAGGTTTCCTTTAACAAATGAGAGCAAAAGAAGTAAGCATCTAATCACAGAAACAGTTGCTGATTTTTGGTAGAAATACTGACAAATCATACTCCATCTGCATTTTCCTAGTTATAGTTTCCTCCCAGTGATTACAAAATATCACGTTTGGTACTACAAAAACAGCAATAGCTGAGCTCCAATTTTAAATCCTTACTTTTGTGACGTTCGTCTGAGGCGCTCTGAATCACTGTCCCTTTTGTATTTGGCTATATTCACCAGGTAGTTCTCCTTCTGAACAGCCTCCCATGTTAGCATCCTGCTGTCTAGAGGCTCCTTCAATTCCAACACTACAAAACAAAATGTTCCTTACTGGCAAGTTTACAAATTATAGGGTCTAACCCAAAAGAAACCTCAGTTAGTCTCAATCTACTTACTAGTTCTTCCAAATTTTCCTTAACATTGAGATCAGCATGGCTTTTGGAATTACACTTTTAAAATAATCACTCTTAAGATGTTGAAAAGAAAGTGGCCGAACACTAAAAGGGTCAGAAGTATGTGTGTTTTTTGTGTAGGAAGTCCACAAGCACACCCTCATGCATTTCACCTAATAGGGTTTAGTTGTAGAGCTACAACACTCTATGACTAAGCTCTATTGGGTTTCACCCATTAGAGGAGCAGTCCTGGGGCAGGGACTGTCAAATTATGCCTGTGGATTTCCTACACAAACACCAATACTAGTGATTCTTTTGTTGTGGCAACTTCCTTTTCTGCATTCATTCCGTGAACATGGACAGCTCATTTTGCCCCTAGCACCTCAAGTTTGAGTGGTGGAGAAGAGAAGAGCCTTGGAGTAGAGAATTTCAGTGTTCAAGCACCCAAAGTCTTGTGATGCTAATTTATATTATGTTAAGAGCGGCTAAGCAGCCACTGTTAAGAGGCAATCCTGTTGTCTCTTGAATGGCTGTTTTTTCCTTGCCAATTGTCAACTTAAAATTGGACTAATGCAAAGCAGCAACGAGCCAAGTGTTTGGCTCGTGGTTGTAGCATGGCCCCATTGACTTGACTGGCGATCACACCTGTCAACTCGGCACTGCTGCATCAAAGTTAATGGCAGTGAACAGGCTTTTCCAATATTTTACTCTTTAGGTGGGTCGCTAGGGAGTGATAAAACCATGGCTCAGTTACTTGTTTTCACTGCCCCCCCCCCCCCCCCCAATGAGAAAGAGGCCTAATTGTTTTGCTTAATTGCTCAAAAAATTCCACATAATATACACTGCTTCCTCCTCGTCCCCATATTCTTTTATAGCCATGTATTATCGAGACCTATGGGGCAAACTCTAGAAGTATACAGAACCTGTGGCCTTCTGCTGACTGTCTATTTTTCCTATAAGTAGAAAATGCTTATCGAGAGAAAAAACAGCAAACTGTAATACAATAAAATAAAAGTTTTAGTTCCCCTCCACTCTTCTTTTATTAATGAGTGTGTGTACTGAGATTTTTTTTTTTTTTTTTTTTTTAAAATACTAATTGTCACTTTTTTCTCTTGATAAACTGCCTAGCCTCTATGCATGAGCCATTACGTACTGAAATGTCTTATCTTCTGTGATTCCACCTTGCGAATCTTGCGCTTGATGAAGGTGTGAATGTGGCTGATGATGATGAAGGGTGGAGCCAGTGCTGGGCGGTTGTGGTACTCCACAATTAGGTTGTATCGCTGGAACTTCCAGTAGATATCGCTGTTGCCTTGCACTTTGGAGAAGGTGTAGCTGTAAGAAAAAAGGCGCAGGAGATAAATAGCACAGTACTGCGAAAAGTACAGATTATTGTGTCCTCATCTTACAATCTTCCTTATGTAAAACACATAAGTAACTACATCTATTCCATGCGGAAATCAGAGGATGTAGCTGTGAATACAACACAGGAAATTACTGGAGCACTCAGAATCCGGTGCAGCTGTGCATGATAACCAATCAACTGCTAACCTCAGCTTGTTCAATCAAGCTCTGTCAATAAAACCTGGAAGCTGATTGGTTTCTGTGCAGAGCTGCACCAGATTTTGCACTCTCCAGTTTTAGTAAATCTCCCCCAGTGTGTGGAAAGATTACCAACATAATGACGTTGGAAAGTTACTAGCAGCAGAACACCACAGAAGAACGGCTGGGGAAACTGAAGCACACCAACTGCCACCAGCCACCAAACTTCAGCCAGCAGTGAATTGTCTGCTTTGGGCAGAGGCTACCTTTAAAAAAATTATGCATTAGTTACCTGAACATGGCAATCAGTAGATTCAGCAAGAGGATGTTGGCAACAAGCAAGAACACAACCAGAAGCAAAATCACAAGCCAGTTGGCAAAAGTGTTGGGACATGGGGGTAACTCTTCATTCATGATAGCCACAGGGTCATTTGTGCAGTTGTCAATTGTCAGCATTCCGGCTACAATAACAAAACAAATAAATAAAAATATGTATATTATACTATTTACATTATACCAAGGTTATTAAGTATTGTCCTCCAGAGGATTGACCCCCCTTCCTGACCAGACCATTTTGTGCGATAGGGCGCTCTGTTAATTTAACTAACAATTGTGCAGTCATGCAACACTGCACCTAAATAAAATGTATGTCCTTTTTCCCCAAAAAATAGAGCTTTCTTTCGGTGGTATTTGATCGCCTCTGCGTTTTATATTTTTTTGCGCTATAAACAAAAATGTCCGACAATTTTTAAAAGAAAAACAATATTTTTTACTTTTTGCTATTAAACAAGTCCAGTAAAAAAATGTAAAAAATCATCCAGGACCCGGTGATCAACAGCTGTAGCCACCAATGTATATATACACTTGATTTTGCGCAGCCCCTGCTGCCCTGTAGCAGTAGTTCTGCTATAGGGCAGTCAAGAATCAGTTAATAAAAAAACATTGTGCGCTGTGAAAGTTTACATGATTATATTAAAAAATGACAGGGACAGCAAGGGTCAGCTAGGAAATAAAGACTGTCATTCTTTTTGTAATTTGTTCTTTTTATGCATCCTTAACCTCTTGGCACGGGCACCACCCAGCCCTTCAGATGCTGGGAGGTGGAGCAGGGTTTCTGATATGACCATACTGATTGGCTGTAACAGCAGTCACATGATCAGAAAGCTCCTAATCGCAAGTAGAGATCAAGAACTTTCCGTTAGTAAGGGCACATGCTCTCAGCACAGCTCTGTTTATTTTTAGGTAAGTATATATGCGACCTCTCGGCATTAAGGCCTACCCGCCAAGAGGCCACATATGTGCATATGGCCAGTGGGAAAGCGGTAATGATGTTATTAGGTAGCATCGATTCTAAGCTGTTCTTGCCTTTTTTTTTTCGTTTTGCACACATTAAAAAATTATTTTAGGCCTGATGATTACTTAAAACCCACAAAACATTATATATTTGCTGAAAGCAGAGACCCTGGAGAATAATAATAATTGTAGTGCCATATTTTATGTTACACAATATTAGTGCAACAGTTTATCAAGTGCAATATATCAGTGAAAAATACACTAACATTTTTTAGGACACACAAACCCAATATTTTACCTAATGTTTGGGTAAACTATATAACAAGAGGTTGCACCAAATAGACACCAAAGATGTCAAGCTTTGAAATTGCATGTGCCCATAAAATAGTAACAAAAGCCTGTACCCTAAATCTTCTATAAGCAACACTTTTAAAGCCCCTATAGGGCTTCCAATTCTTTCTTCCAGTTTTCCTATAGTGTGTACCCAGTTTAAGGGTTAAAAAAATAATGATTATGTGGTCATGTTTGAAAGAATGAATAGGCCAGATACGTGAAGAACTTTTGGAGCAGTACTCGCTTTATCATGTGTCTTTTTTCATCTTACCGTCCATCTTGTTCAGTTCAATTTGACCAAAGATCTGTAGGTAGGGCCGATAGAAGACACGACGGAAAATCCAGCCCAAACGCATATCATTGGGGTGAAGGAGACCCTCTGTGGCAACTCCGTAAGCAATCAGCCAAACTCCCAAAAAGAAAAGGAAAAAAAATACATCCTTCATCTGTTGTAAGACAAAAACACAAATATTAAAGTTGAATTCCATACCAACAGTTGAAAATACATTTACAGTATGTGTATTTTTAAATTGCCTAAATATTATATTTCACACATTCCTGTCACATTGCTCAGCTGGGATGGAGACATGACCATGGGCTACTGCAGCTTACTGTGCTACTTGTCTGCTCTTGACAAATTGTAGTGTAGTCTATTGTGTTCTTACCATTTTTCTGACAATAATGATTTTGGGCCCCAACTGCTTGTTCACAGCAAAAATATGAATGAGCCGGAGAGTGAAAACCATGAAATCGAAGCAGAGGATGGTCCGCCCTGACTCATATGAAACTTCAAACATTCTGTGAAAAGACAGAATAGATTATTAGGACATTTACCATACAAGCTAATCTCTCCTGAAACATGCCATGATTAAGTCATAAGCTAAAATAACTAAGAATATACTGGGCTGCTAAGGAGAAGTATAAAGTAGGTCTGAGTTCACCTCCTACCTTACAGTAGGTTACAAAACAACCAAGAAATGAAGATTAGGGACAGTGTATTCGCACCCATAAAAGACAAAGCTTGTATGCCAACAGACCCATTAATTTAAAATCTGAAAATGGGGACCTCACCAGCCCCCAAAACATTACTTTTTTGCAAATATCAGCGATATAATCTCATGGAACTCATTTAATCCCCCTGAGGCAGACTCACTTTTCTCTAAATTTGCCCTAGCCAAAATCTTTCCCTTAACAAATACCTATTCAACAAAGAAATCACAATACAAGAAGCAAAGAGAGTCATCAAAGCTCCTAAAGTGAAACTTTGGGCATATTAAAAAATACAAATACAGTACAGTATAACGGTGTCTGGCAATAACATTAACACAGCAGGTTTTGTCTTTTTGAGTCCCTCTGCAACATTAGCAGTATTGTATTACCAATTACTGCCAACAGATCTGTTATTTTTGCACTTCTTGTAACAGAACAAACTGTTCAGCAAAAGTTGTGAGAAACCATTTAAAGCTGGCCATACGCTAGCCAAAATTCAGGAACAACCACATTGTGGTCAGTCTTTGTTTGTCCCTGCTTGACAGAAATCAAAATTTTGATGGACTTCTGTCAAAAAACTTCTCTCAAATCGTCCACTGTTCAGTGTATTTTGAAAGCAATGAGTGCAGCAGTCAGTAAATAATGTTCTTGCGGGGAGAATTCTCCATCAACCAGGTTTGTGTGGATGAAGAAATCTGTTGGCTGAGCTCAGAAGTTTTGTTATATTGTGGACTGAGTAGTCCACATGTTGTTTTAAAAAAAACTTTACGTAAGAGACAGAGCAGCTACAACAGGTATTTTTCCTTTTAAAAAAGTTTTAAGCTATATGAACAGAATCTGAAGTTTGAAAGCACTCCTGCCAGGGTTATTTGGTTTATCCCAACTTTGTATGTGTCACTTTTTCTGGACAGCTTGGCCTGTTACATGGACAAATAATGAGTCTATTGGCAGGATGAAAAGGTAATAATACTGTTAGGAGGGACTCAGAAAAAAACAAAATCAGCACTTTAATGCCATTGAGAGACTGCATCATATACAGTATACCATTTTTTTTTATTTTGTCCATAGTTACACTTTGAGAAGTGGCAAATGAATATGCAGAGAAATGTAACCTTCCACTGGAGAGCCTATGGCTGAAACCAGTGGTCAAAGTGGCACATCACAGAAATGCAGGTGGAACTTCTATTCCCCGATCATCTATGGTATCTATGAAATATGAAACAGGAAGCGATAAGAATTTTGTCACTTCCAGGTTCAGTTTGTTGTTTACAAGCCATTACTGGCAAGTAAAATATCTGATCAAACCCATCTTGATTTGATCAGATGTTTTTGAAGACAGGAGGGCAGAAGATGCTATCACAAGGGATGTTGTAATAGCAATAAAGTTGATTTAAAAAAAAAAACTAAAGAGACACTGTGAAGAAAAAATTAAAGTGCCCCCATCCCCCAAGCACATGTGCATGTGCAAATGCTACCACATTCATAGGACCCGCATGCACATGGAAATGGTGAATGCACTGCATGTGAGGTATTGCTGCAAATGACAGAGTAAGAGAAATAGTTCTAGCACCAGACCACCTGTTTAATGCTAAACTGTTCACCTGAAAAGGCTTTTAAAATTTCATATATGAATTGTTTTTAAGTATCATAGTTTGTCGCCATTCCACAGGTGTGTACAATTTTAAAGCAAGATGTAACATCATCCTCTATATTTTACCAAACAATTGGGAATTATATTGTGTTTATGGGCACTAAATTCATTAAAGTGTATTTTTTTCCCCCAAAAAAATTGTGCTTGAAAAATCGCTGCACCAATATTGTGGGACATAACAAATTGCAACAACCAACATGTTCTCCTCCAGGGCCTTTGCTTTCAGAAAATGCCTAATTTTTGGGGATTCTAAGTAATTTTCTAGTAAAAAATGCATGTTTTTATGTGAATGTGAGAAGTGTCAGAAATAGCTTGGGCAGCAAGTAATTAATCTATAATAAATAGCTGTTGTAATCTATAATAAATGGCACAATGTTAACGTGAACCTGTTGTTGTATTGCAATAATGTAAGGGTAAGCTTAGGGATGAATAGTAGTCATCAAAAGGTACCTGATTATGCCTATCATGTGAGAAAAGATTCTTACATAGTGTTTGCTGGCACCTCACAAAATACTGGGACCTCTGAGATATGGGGAGAGCAGACATGCAGTTCCCCACTTCCTTGCCTTCCTTTCCTGTCATACAAAATAATCTGTTCATTGGCAACTGTGTAAAGCAATGTTGAGGCCAAAAAGGTTTATGGTGCCTTAATATGAACAAATGATCACCAAATCAATTGAGGCAACAGATATGTATCCTATAATCTATAGGTTCCATTAGGACAATTATAAGATGTAAATTTTGCATGACAGAGCCACTTGAAATATCCACTTTATAAGTTTGAAGGGTTTACAATGCCATGTTTTCATGCTGATGTACCTGCAGATTACACCAATGATGAAAAGCAACAGGGCTGTGATGTCCACATGATTCCAAGAATCTTGCAAGTACTGCTTGACCTTCTGTGCCACTGGCATTGACCCCACAAAGAAGCTTTGCCGTATTTCTTCACAAACCATGGTGAAGACCCAGAAATACAATATAATCTCTGAAGTGGCTGGGCCAATGGGCGGAGGCTCTTTGAAATCCATGAGCAGCACATAGGAGAAAAGGAAGAGAAAAGCAAAGTACATGACTACATTGCCAAAGAATGCAGTGACAGGGGCACTCCAGAACTGCTTCCAGCGCCTCATCCATTGCGGCCGGGGCTTCTCTTTAGTGATTTCCACTTCTGGGGCTTCTGAGTTTAAGTCAGTTGTCTTGCCAGGTTTCAGCTCAACAAGTTCACTTTTTTCCCTCATTATTTCCTCCCTAAAAAGAAATTCAAAACACATTATCTGCAACAACAATGCCAAAAACTGATTTGCGTGAGAATTTAAAGTGGACATGTGTGTGTGTTGGGGTGTAGGTTAGCTGGGGGTTGTAAAAGCACGGCTCCACTCCTGAACTCTGCCCTCTGTACATAGTGTACTCCTGAACTGTGCCCTTTGTAATCAGTGCACTCCTGAATGCTGCCCTCTGTACACAGCACACTCCTGAACTCTGCCCTCTGTACACAGCGCACTTCTGAACTCTGCCCTCTGTACATAGTTTACTCCTAAACTCTGCGCTCTGTACATAGTTTACTCCTAAACTCTGCGCTCTGTACACTGTATACTCATGAACTCTGCTCTTTGTATGCAATGTACTCCTGAACTCTGCCCTCTGTAAGCAGTGTACTCCTGAACTGTGCCCTTTGTAATCAGAGCACTCCTGAACTCTGCCCTCTGTATGCAGCGCACAACTGAACTCTGCCCTCTGTATGCAGCACACTCCTGAACTCTACCCTCTGTACACAGCACACTCCTGAACTCTGCCCTTGTACACAGCACACTCCTGAACTCTGCCCTTGTACACAGCACACTCCTGAACTCTGCCCTTGTACACAGCACACTCCTGAACTCTGCCCTTGTACACAGCACACTCCTGAACTCTGCCCTTGTACACAGCACACTCCTGAACTCTGCACACAGCACACTCCTGAACTCTCTGCCTGCTGTACACAGCACACTCCTGAAACTCTGCCTCTGTACACTGTACACTCATGAACTCTGCCTTTGTATGCAGCTGCCCTCTGTACATAGTGTACTCCTGAACTGTGCCCTTACACTCTGCCCTCTGTACAGTGCACAGCACACTCCTGAACTCTGCCCTTGTACAGCGTACTTCTGAACTGCACACTCCTGAACTCTGCCCTCTGTACAGCAGTGTACTCCTGAACTCTGCCTCTGTACATCAGCGCACTCTCTGAACACTGCCCTCTGTACATAGTGCAGTGTACATACTCCTAAACTCTGCCCTCTCTGTACGCAACACTCATGAACTCTGCTCTTTGTATGCAGCGTACTTCTGAACTCTGCCCTCTGTAAGCAGTGTACTCCTGAACTGTGCCCTCTGTAATCAGCGCACTTCTGAACACTGCCCTCTGTATGCAGTGCACAACTGAACTCTGCCCTCTGTACACAACACTCTCCTGAACTCTGCCCTCTGTACGCAGTGTACTCCTGAACTGTGCCCTCTGTATGCAGCGCACTCCTGAACTCTGCCCTCTGTACGCAGCGCACTCCTGAACTCTGCCCTCTGTACGCAGCGCACTCCTGAACTCTGCCCTCTGTACATAGTGTACTCCTAAACTCTGCACTCCATACACACATGCACACACATGTACCAATGCAATTGGCTGCACACACCTATGCACAAGTGTAAGTGAGCCTTAGTGAAATGGTGCCCAAAACTGAACTGAAGATTTCAGAGATACATTGCTTTGTGCAGGGTCAAAATTGTGTCTCTTAACACAGGAAAGTATGTTGCCTGCTTTAAAAACGAC